TTCCCCAGTATTCAGAATTGATTTACATAAAACAAGCTTCTAATTCTCGCAAATAAAGTTACATATAAGTTAATTTAGTCTTATTTAAAGCTTTTTGCACTAGAAACTAGACCAAAAATACTTTTTTTGCAAAATCTTACCAGGTATTTGTAGGATTTTGCCAATACTAGCTTGCTATTGTGCTACATCTTGCTAGTGTAAACGTTTAGGCTGATTTATTTTTCTTTCCTCTGGTCAGGACCGTTTGTGGAGCGGGCCATCATGTCCTCTCAGACCAGCGAAGCCGTCTGGTTCCAGACCGAAGGTGTTTTACCTGAAGCAGCTCAGGCCGATGAGGAATGACTTCCCTCTCAGATTATAAATAATGACCATACTGAATAAAGATTTTGTTTTTCTGGTTTTCCTGAGAGTTTTTGTTGTTGTTTTAAGAAAATCCCAGTAGATTAAAGTTGAACCAAAGAACCAGGACAGGAAGGAGAATTTAATTAATTTTTAAACAAAAAGGTCAAACAGGACGAAACTATCCAGTTCTTTCTTTTTATTGTTATATTTTTGTGACGTGGATCATTACCAATCAAAACTTTCTACAGTTCTCCAGTTAAAGTCAGAAACTTTAAGGAGTTTGATATTTTCTAATACCTGATTTCTGCATGTCTTATTTGAAACTCAATTTGATATTTCACCAAATTAATGGCGCATTCTTTACGTTTTAAATGTAATTTGTGAAAAATAATTTAGCTCCTATTTAAAACATGCAATGTTTTTTTTTATATATATATAAATCTGCATCCTGACCATTTATAATGAAGTTGTTATGAAGGACTTTAAATGTGATACAAGTAACCCTGCTGTCAAAATAAAATATTTTTCCTTATCCACATATTATCCTGATGTATTGAAGCTCTAAAATATTTAATTTTAGATATTTTGTTATTAAATCTACAGTTTAAAAATAAAGTTTGAAAATAACGTCATGATTTCCTTTAGGGTATCTTTCAAACTGCTTTAAATGACAAAATGTTTTGTGATTATATATTGTTTTAATTTTATGAAAAAGCCTACAATGAATAGAGGAAACAGGTTATCCAACTTTTAAAAAGATTGAGGTGATTTGTTACAAGTAATTTTATTAAGTTTGTCCAATTGCAGCTACACTAATAGGGTGTAATACCCCCTGGTGCACACCAGGGGGCAGTGTTTACACGATGTGCTGCTGAGTGCAGCCTGTTGAATCTTGAGCTAAAGAACAGTTGAGATATTTATTGTGATCTGGATCATTCAGGCCCAGTTTTAGAAGAACCATCCTATTGTGGATAAATAAGGATTTATTTTAGGGTCAAAAACCCTTGCATCAAATAATAGTTATTTTATATCAGCTTCTTTGGGATCTTCTCCCATCTAAACACATTAAGAAAAAGACTCCCTGCTCATCTTTTGGGGAGTCAGACATGGATATTCACGCTGTTATCCAAACTGCACAGCCGGGTACAAACATCCATCCTCAGGTTGACATTTACTGTAAGATGGAGATAAGTCTTATTGTTTGTTCCCTGGGGGCAATCAGGCTGCAGCAGCGGCTAATTGCAGCAGTGAAAGCTGAGAAAATGGTAAAAGTGATGAGAAAAACTTTAATGAGTTTCTGTCTGACTGTTTGTTTCTTTTTGTCGGTTCTGGCTCCTTTGACTTTCAGATTAAATATTGATTAGGATGAAACTGTTAATGTGCATTGGATGCTCTGTCTCTAAGTATACAAGTCTTCAAAAAAAGAGAAAGAAAATCCCAAACAGAACTTTGTCTAATTTACAGTTTGTTTCATTTTTCAGTGTCCTCAATCCAAACATTTATTGTAGATTTTGAAATTTGATTTTGAAAAGTAAAAACAACACTTGAAAAAAATTTAATCTGAGAAAACCAAGAAAATTTCTGTTTCAAAAGTTTAAAATTTATGAGAAAAAAAACTCAGAAATTTTCTGACTTTTAAAAGTCTTAATCCCCGCCCCCAGAAATTCTGGAATTAATATCAAATAAATTCGAGGAAACAGAAAAATTAAAGATTTTAATTAAAGATGAACTTTAATTAAAACTACTAAAAAACTAAAATTTTTTGCTTAATATTTTAACATTACTAGAATTTCTTTTTTTAAATTTGGAGTTTCAAAAACTAAATTTATGAGAAACCTCTCCCCCCCCCCAGAAATTTTGAGCTTAATGTTGGAAATATCACAGAAAAAAACAGGAAATTTTCTGTGTTTCAAAACTCTGAAATTTGAAATCAACAATATGGAATTAATCTAAAAAATCCAGAAAAAAAAAATCACATTTCAATGGTCAAAAATGTAGAAAAAAAAGACTGATTTTTGTTTGTTTGTTTGTATTTCTGAGATGAAACTCAAACTTTCAAAAATATTCCTGGAATTTGTTGACTTTTCAATCTCAGAAATGTTTGTCTTTTTTCCTAGATAATCTAAAGATTCTGGATTTTATTTATTTTGCCTGATATGTACTCTTCTTTCTACAATGTCCCTAACACCCCGCCGTAGACTCCTGAGATGTTAATTGTTTATTTTTGTCCTCTTGTTGGTTTATAAATCTCTTTGTATTTGTGCTGTAAACTCTCCTTTCCAAGCAAATGAAGTGAGTAAAATCTCAGAACAAGTCCTGATTCCGAGCTGTGGGTTATAATTAGCCGTGTGTGCAGACGGCAGCAGCATTAGCAGCAGAAAAAAAGGAGAAACTGCTTCTGATCTGCGCTTTTGGCAGAGGACAAAAGGGCTGAGTGAGATCAGGTTTCTGCCATGTGACACTGAGGAATCTCAGACCTGCACTCCTGATTAAACATTACACTCTGCAGGTAAGCTAGCAGGTAGATACACACCGGCTTCACACATAAAGACCTAGTGAGGAAAAAATATAATTTACTGAAACTACATAATGCGTTTATGTATGTAACTAAAACATACTGAAATTAGAGATATAATACCCTTTGTTTTTGTGTTTATAAATATATTAACTTTTCGAGCTGATGTGCAGTTTACGTCAGCTGCTGGCAAATTACGGCACTTCAGCGCCAATACTCTGGCGGCAGGAAAGCGAGTCCGCAAAATGGCGGCAGCGAAAGTTAGGATAAAGAGTCAAATAGTTGTTGTTTTTGAAAGTGGTATCTTCTATTAAGTATTAATTATTTCAGTCGATGTAAAAATAATCCCAATACGTTTCGTTGACCTTTTTGAGTATTTAGCTAACTAATAAAACCAAGCTAATCTACTCTAAAAACGAATTAAAACCAACTGAATTAGACAGAAAGTCACAATAAAATAAATATTAACTACAGTGAAAAAGCCAAAACGGTTGTATCTCTGGCAGGCTGTCATGAGTGTAGATTTAATCAGACATACAATAAATGTACATGTTAGCTCCGATACAGTTCAGTTCATTAGGGTCAGTTCAAGGTCATCACAAGGTCACTTTACAAAATAAAAGTTATCTCAGCCTGCCCTAGTTATGAATCAGTGGATTAGGTTAAGTTAAATTAGCTTAAAAATCTTTCTATCTATGGAAACCCTGCTGATTGCAGCATTCACTAAACAAAGCGGTCATAGACAATCACTTGCGTTTTTTGGCTGCAGCTAATGATTATTTCAGTTATTGATTAATCTGTTATTCTGACAATTAATCAATTAATCAGATAGAAAAAATGTTGGCATTCTGCAGATGTATTGTGGTGATTTTATACAACATTCAAAATGTAGCAAAGGATGCATCTGCAGATAAAAAGAATACTTCTAACATCGACATGTGAAAAGCTCACTCATCTATCTACTCAATATATTTTCCTGTTTCATCACAGATCATGCAATAATCTGAATCAAGCATATTCTGTATCATACATGATAAGGAGATAATGATGTGAAGATCCATATTAATCCCAAATTGCATAAAAAAGACTAATTGTGGATTAAAGAGTTTTATGATAATCCCCCCTCTACCCCCACCCCAAAATTTCCAAAACTACTCAGTAACATTTTTGACTGGTATTATTTATTAAAGTAACGATACTTTCTGAACTTTTAAATGCTTAAAAGTTTTCAAACATAAATTTTAAAGGACTTTATCAGGATTTTATGTCATAGACAAAGTATTGTGTATTTATGAATGGATGGAAAGTTTTATTTCTGTCCTCAGAGGTTCATTACACTGTAAAAAGACAAAATTTTATCAAGTTGGTCTAGTTTGTTGTGCACATAGTGCGCTTGAAATAAAACAAAACTAACTCAAAAGTAACTTTTCAGCCAGACATATGAGCTTGTGTTGCGCAAACATGTCCATAATATTGATGAAAAGTACTTATTCCATTGATTATTTCACTTATGACGATACATTTTTCCCATACTATAGGTGAAATAGTCAGACAGTGGAAGTAGTACTTTATACTTTTATACTAATAATGGAATGAAGTAAGTATTAAGAGAATAAAGTTGTAATATTATGACTAGTTTTGTCCTGTAATGTTGACTTTATGAAGTCAGGGGTGTCCAATGTGTGTCCATTTGTGGGCCCTGCAGGGATTTTATTTTATTTTAATAAGACAACATAATATACAGATTTAATTTAAAAAGTGTTTATTGTTTAGGAGAAAATCACTGTAAATAAATTTTTGCATTTTTAATTTCATGATATTTATAGTCTGCCAGAGGCTAAAAGTTTGGACTGTAAGTTTTATATAAATAATAAAATGAAAACGCACAGAAAGACCCTGCAGGGAGGAGAAATGATTCATTATTTCTATAAACCTCAGATTTTGCAGCAGTAAATGAGATTACAGGACGAATCCCTCAGATGATCCAAATTCCTCTTTCGCTTGTGGCTTAATCCCAATCCCGCAGAAGCGGAGTCCCCATCATGTGAGATTATGATCGGTGGAGGAGGGAGGGCGGGATCGTGGAGGCAGCAGCGGCCAGAGGTGGGACGTCCTCCCGGGGAGAGGAGGGAGAAGAAGTGGCTGCAAACTCCGACCGCCTCTCTCAGTCATGCGCCTCGGCTTTTAAAGGACTCCCCGCTACTGCTGCTGCTGGTTCTGGTTCTGCTGGGCAGCAGGGATTTATTTCAAAAGTGAAGAAGAGTTGGACCGAGCAGTGAGGAAGAGGAGGATACTTTTCCAGGTTACCGGATCGCGCTGCATTCCAACCCCGGAGCGCAGCGCTCAGGATTCGGACCCGGCGCGCTGCGTCTCTCCGCTCCTGATCTCTTTCATTCTTATTTTATTTTTCTATATATATATTAATACATTCGCTTCTTCTGGCTCTGTTGGATCTCTGCAGCGATGACGCACAAAGGGAATCGCTTTTATTTCTAACTAGAAACGGTTAAAAGCGCAGAGGGGGGTTTCTCCTCCGGAGTGGATCTGGATTTCTCGCCCGCTGCAGGTCCGACCATGAGCGCCGGATGGTGGGTGTTTGTTGGCGCTTTGGTGGGGGTCCTCACCGTCCCCAACGCGGCACACGGTTGGTATATTATTTTTGGTCACTGTCTTTTTTGTTAATCCAGTTGTCCGGTTTGTTATGTAGGTCAGGAGGAGTTGTGGAGGGCAATCATGCGCTTCTGCAGCAGAGCTGAGGAGCCGGAATTTGATCTGATTGTGGATGATTTCCCCCCCCACACTTGTCTCTGGTGGAGAAGGGGAAAGTTGTGACTAGAATGATAACTTTACATTTTACACAGACGTAGGCAGAGTCACCAGAAATTGTACTCAAGTAAGAACAGAACTACTACAACATGTTTTTACTGGAGTAACAGTAAAAAGGCTGCTCAAGTTCTAACTGATCAAATGATCAATAATATAATATTTAAGAAAATCGTCCTCAGATGGGCCAACTTATAAAGTTAAGCATAAATGTAGGTAGTTTAAGGATGAAAATAAGTAACAAGAAATAACAAAATCGGGCATAATCCATTTTAAAAAGGCAGTTTCTTTCAATAAAAATCTTATGAAACTTTAACAGAATCTGCAGGTGTGTTGGTGAGTCTTTGGTTGAAACATGTTTGTTACTCATTCAGTGAAGTTCTGCACAGCGGTAGAGAATCCAGAAATGGATGATAGATATCACTGAGTCATTAACTTTTCAGCAATCCCTCCACCTGAAGCAGCTATGGATGTTTTTAGATTATGTTGATTTAGTAAACTATCAGCAATCTCTCTACCTGAACGGGTACATGGAAACTGCAGATGTGATTAGATTGTTGATTTATTAACTTTTCATCAATTCCTCTGCTGTGGATGTTTTTAGACTATTTTGATTTAGTTTCAGCAATCCCTCCTCTTCAGCTGCTGTTCCATGTTTACAACCTGAAGCAAATACAAATGTAGATTTACTAACTTTTCAGCAATCCCATTTCCTGAAAAGCACAATGAAACTGTGAATGTGTAGAGATTATTTTCATTTAGTAACTTTTCAGCAATTTGTCCACCTGAACAATCATATTACAACAATGGATGTGGGTACATTATGCTGATTTAGTAACTTTTCAGCAAACTCTTCACTCAATCAAGCATGTGGCAACCGTGGAGGTGTGTAAATTATATTGATGTAACTTTCCAGCAATCCCTGCATTTTAATTTTGTAACTTTTCAGCAATCCTGTTTTCTGAAAACATGGGGCAGCTGTGAATGTGTGAAAATCATTTGTAATTTAGTTACTTTTCAGCAATTCCCCCACGTGAACAAGAATGAGGCAACTGTGGATTTCTGTAGATTTAGTAACGTTTCCAGCAATCCCTCCTCTATCACAAGCATATGCACAAACTGTGGATGTGCATAGATTATTGCGGTTTAGTAACTTTTCAGCAATACCCCCACCTGAACAATAAAATGCCAGGAGAAACGCAGTTAGATCAAATTTTCAGAGTATTTCAAACTTTATTACAACCTGCCTGAGTGGTTGAAAGACAAGCTGTGCGCCTCTACAAAAACACACAGTTAATGAGAAGACTTTGTGTCTCTTGATCTGCAAATCTGCAAATCTTCAAAGTCAGTTTGAGAATTCAAAGAGAGCCCTGACTAAATTAGGATCAACCGCATATTTTTATTGTCAACTGTTCACGTTTCACATTCATCAGGCTGTGGCAAAGTCTGACTAGAGAAACAGCCTGTTGTGTGAGTTGTGCATTTTTATCCCGCTAAATAGCCAAATACTTTGAAACCTATCCCTAGTTGCCTCTTAAATATTTATCAGGCTGCATCAGATCAGAAAAAACCCCAGCCTGTGCTCAATTACAGTTTCCGCTTCCCATGTCTCAGAGCGCGTCATGGACAGAATCATAAGCATAACCGGGAAGCAGTTCCTCAATAGAACTGTTCTCTTTCCCTCCTTGAACCCTGTTCAGTCCTGATCACTTTCAAGAAAGAGAAGATCCACTTTGAAAACTTTTGTTTTTTAATCCCCAAATAATTAATTGCCTCATCTTGGCGTGTGTCCAATCTGCCTGGCAGCTGCTGCTTCAATAGCATTCAAACTTTGATGCTCCTCTGAAAATAAAACACATTAGTTATAAATGTTGGAGCCTTATTGACGGCTGCAGGAGGTAACAGGAGGAGGGTGGCCGAAAGGTTGAAGTTGAAGACCAGAAATTGTCCTTTTTTATTTATTTTTTTAAGCTCAGGTTCCTTTGTAGTCTCCAAAGGAGAATTAGCGCCAATTTCTGCCAAATTTGGACATTTTCTTCAAAAACATGGACATTTTGGAGGCTGAAAGATTAAATATTTTTCAGAAAAAAAAAATATAATTTTTAGAGAAATCTGGGAGGTTTCTGAGTTTGAGAAGTCAAAAAGTTGCTAAAAAAAATCTCAGAAAACTTTTAGAAAAAACATACAATTTTTTGACCTCAAAGAAACTGATATTTTTAGAATTTTTTTTTTAAAGTGACTGAGTTTTTCCAGTAAAACATGGACATTTCTGACCTTGAAAAGTCTAAAATTTTCATAAAAAACAGATTTAAAAATAATTTTTTTAGATTAATAAAAAAACAAGATCATTTTTGAGTTTCAAAAGTCAAAAATTTAATAGAGGAAGAACTCAGAAATTTTGAGATTCCTTTCTGACAGTTTTAGAAAAAAAAGTGGAAATTTTGAGTTTAAAAAATCAAAAATTGTGTTAGAAAAAATGCCTCAGAAATGTTGATTTCAGAAATTTTCAAGAAGAAAACAAACATTTTTGTGATTCAACAGTCAAAAATTTGGTAAAATTTTTGACTGAAATTTTTGCCAAAAGTTGAAGATGTATGGCTTTTGGAAATTTTTTGAGTTTCAAAAAACTAACAATTAAAAAACATTTCAATGACTTTGAAAGTTTGCATCAAAAGCTCCTGTGAAAACATAATGAAACTCCAAATCAGATCACATGAAGCGTTTTCTTGTCTCCTAAAGACGATCATTGGTTGGTTAGTTGGTTAATAAATGCCCTGCAGTAATTGGTTTAAAGTCTGATCTGTTGGAAGCAGTTTTCATTACTGGCAGAAGTGCAACGCGAACCTCCTCAGTGTATTCGGTCTGAACTGATTAAAGTGCCAGATTAGATTTTGCTGAGCTCTCTTTCTGTCATGCAGGCACATGACAAAGCAGCGACATAAACAGATTTGCTGTCGGGCATTTTTAATGAGGACAATAACAGTAGGCTTTTTTTTTTTTTCTCAGAGCGTTATGATAAATGTTTACTTCTGGCTCTTTTCCCCCTGAGATGTCTCATATTTTATCAGTCGTGTGACTCTTAGCTCAGACCTCAAGCTGTGCCGAGGCGTTGCTCCATACGTCTGTCTGTCTGTGTTTTCTTAACGTTTGGCCCTTAAATTGAGCAGATTACCATCAGCACCCACCCTGTCGTCTCAGTTTAGGGACACAAGCTTTTGTTTCCCTTTGAGAGGCTTTAATGGTCACTGTTTGTGTTGGTCTGAATGTAAATGAGCTTAAATCCTCTAATTAGGGCTAAGAAATATCAAATGTTTAATCAAAGAGTATCAAAGAGGTTTGTTTTAATGACAGTTAATAATAGGATTTAATTTATTGACAGTTCAGTGAGGACGCCTTCATTTTCACTTTTTCACAGCTGTTTGTTATTATTCCATGTTATTTTCAGGGATATTGCATCTTAGAACAGAAACACTAACTGTCTGACATTTTATGAAATCTCTTCAATCTTCTCTTCTCATTGTAATCCACGTTTAGTCCCTGGATAACCAGATTCCAGGATCTTTTTATCCATCTGCTGGTTTTCTTTGTGTTGCTGAGACATATTGATCTTGAATCTTGACAGCTCTTAACAACCCACACAGGGATCATAAATACACTGAAAAGGATAAATTACTTCCTCATGTGTGTGTTTTTAAAGCACCTGTAGTGATTTTGACATCACTCAGACCAAATCGGACTCTAACTTTGTTTCTTTCCTCTGTTTTCATCCCAGGAGCTTGTCTCTATCAGGGATCGCTCTACGCGGTAGGTGCTTCAACACTTTCTTTTTGCTGTTTAATCCCTGGTTAAGACTTCCGCCTCATCTGGTTGCAAAGTTTGGTTCGCCTGCAAAGCCTAACGGAGGAAACGCTCATGCATTATTTACGTGGGACTTTGCCGGTTTAGTGAGACTGACAGATGAAGCTGTTAAGTGTCTCCATGCAAAGATGGGTGATAAAAGGAGTACATATCATATCAGTGGGGATTAGCGCACATCCTCTGTCAGAAACGAAGCAGAGGGGATGTGGCTCATCTATAATGCAAGCCGGATGCTGAGTTTGTGGAGGATAATGGTGATGATGCGGCTCTGCGTCAGGCTCCCGCTGCTCCGCTTTGCAAAACTTTTTTAATTTTCTGCCTCTCCTAGGTGTTAGTAAGAGGTTTTTGCTTTTATTTTCTGCTCTTTTGGCTGTGCTCGTATTCTGGCTTTAGATTTACAGTTGAAAGAAATCACGTTTGAAAAGCGTCTTTGTTCCCCTGCAGAAGAAACTGATGTATTCACTCAAATGCAATTCAAGTCATTTTTTAAAATCTCAAACAAGCTAAAATCAGAAAGCTTAGCCATTTTTTCACATGATTGTCACATGATTTATTCAGGAAACTTGGAAGAGCCGACTCATGATTGGTCAAGTTCTGCAGATATTTTCTCGTTATGGGGCTCGCTTTATTTTCCAGAATGACTCAGAACATTTTTCTGTTTTTCTCTCTGCTTTTTGCTTCAGTGTTTAATTCTTTCCTCAGTGTTTTTAAATGTTTTAATTGTTGCTTTCATGCCTAATTCAATGTTTTAACCAGACAATTGATTTGACACTGATGTATTTACCACATTATTTCAACATTTTAGACTTGGAAGAAAACACACACCCCCCCCAATTCACATATTTGTGTGACTATTCATTGAATTATCACTTAGAAATTATTGAGTGGGGAAGGAGATAAGAGCTGGTTGTCATTTCAGAGTGCTTTGTGTAAAACAGGATGCAGAAAAATACAATAGAGGCACATAATGTGAACTAACATGTTGCTGAGAAGTCACTTCAACCTTTTTCCATTATTTTTCCAAATTATATAGAAAGGGTTAAGAAATATACTTTTACCCACCAGATGTGTTAAATACATTTACATGTTAAATAATTAGATTTTTTTTTATAGCGTTGGTGCTGGAGCTTGACACTTATTGCTTTTATCATTTTAAACTGCAAATGTTGCTGTGGATCAAATCTGCCTGTTTCCAGAAATTAGTAGCAGGATACGAATCCATAGAGGAAGTGAATATAAAATATGCAACTACGACTTTACTGACTGCAGTTCTGAAGATTTTTGTTATTTCTGGGAATCTTTAAAGGAAAACGGTGTAAGAAAAAAGAAAGGAGGAGCAAGAACTTGGAAATATTGAGCTTAATCTCGAAGTTCTGGAAAAACGTGTACATTTTGGAGTTTACTCAACAGGTCGCTGCTCGGTACCAAAGAACGAGTGAGTTGATTCCACCAACGTTTCTTAGCTAGCAGCGAGAGGTTGAAGTATTTCCTCTGCCTACATCTCCCAGAATACTGTGCAATTCTGGATTAATCTGTACCGGGTAAAAGCTACATTACCTCGGCTAATTTTGCTCATCCTTGCATCTTTCTATCTCATCTTGAATTTTCTCAGGGCCTCCGAGAAGCGATGAATTACTTTTTAGCAGAAGATTGCTGCTGTACGAATGCTGTGAGGAAAATGGATCAAATGTGGGCAGTAAAGACATTTAAATCTGGGTGCACTTTTGAGCTTGAAGAGATTTTTTGTCTCCTTTCTTTAAAGTCAAATTTGACAGGAAAGGAATGCAATCTGGTTCCTTGTGCTTCAGAAAACTACCACCTGTGTCAGGCAACAACTGGTAATCTCACTTAAACATGGTTCTGCGTGCTGCGGTTGTTGTTCCCAGGCTGAATAATGAGGAACTCCAGCTTGTTCTCCTGCAGTTTTCAGAATAATTACAGTAAGGCTGAAAAAAACATACCTGCAATCATGTAAACACACAAGAACACATCCTGCTTCCCTTTCCCCTGGCTTTTCAAGGGGGATCATTTCAGAAAGTGTAAAAGGTAGTAGTTGTTTGGGCGTTGAGGATGGGGAAGGAGGAAGGGAAAGGAGGTGGGGGGAACTTGGTGGCTAAAAAGGAAAACAGGTGGGATGTCTAAGCATGTTTAAACACCGTTTGCAGAAAAAAAAGACCCTTTTCTTCTGCAGTTCAAAGTGAAAAACCCCACACCTGGGCTGGTGGGAAGATGGGAACAAACGGGAAAAGAAAACATTCAGATGAAAGTCCATGTTGGAGCTTTCAGGCCTCCATGCTTCTCAATTGTTTTATCAAAATCTGAATTCTTTATTTAATTAAAGTTCTGGCATTGATTGATCGATGGTGATAAAATTCTTCTTATATCAAAGTATAAACAAAAATTGTTCTGATCTCTCTCCAGTTCTGCTCATGGCATTGCAGGAATAAAAACAGATCAAAGTTTAATCAGTTTAGCCAGTAGGGAAAATAAGAGCACCATTTATTTTCCACTGTAACAATCATTTTTCAGTTTTTTATCTGTTAAAAGGAAAGAAAATAAATTTATAAAGGTTTCATTTTTGTTTTTATTTCTTTTTTATTTCTTTAGCTGACATGATCTTTTGTCTGGTTTGGCCAACACTAATAGCCTTCAACAGTTGGTCGCTAATGTTAGCTGCTAACGATAATGGCCACCAACAATAGCCAGAAAATAAGCACAGTTGACAGAAGACGCTAATATTGGGCACCAACAATTATTAATAACCAAATATGTTTAGAGAATCCAGAGATTTTACTCAATATGTTTTTATTCTTGTAGAAAAGATGAATTGTGTCTGTTTGGTTGTAAATGAGATGGACAGTTACTTTATGGAGACTTTAGGTTCCTTGATAGTGTTTTAAAACATATAATTGGTAAGCTTTAAGTTGTATGGCAAGTTGTTTTTTTTTAAAGCAATTGAATCATGTCATACAACTTTGTTTTTAACATTCCTACCGGCACTTAATTGGTGGCCCATGTTGGTAACATTGACCACCATTGTTAGCTTTTAACTGTAATTTGATTTTATATGAATATGTAAATACCTTGAGAAAGATTTATCACCTGCTTCTCAAGTCAGTGCAGAAAATACTTGTTGCTTTCAGATTTACCACTTTGGACCTGAGAGACATGAGATAATTTGCCTTATTTCCATGAGACCAAACAAGTCGGAAACATGCTGCTTCTGTAGAAACATGTTTGATTGACAAGAAGCGATATGGACTCACAGATGGCCGTGAATATGCAGAAACGACTCTCTGTTTTGCAGTAGAGTTGAGGTTGTTTGACAGCAGCCATATGGGGAAACTGCTTAAGGAGCAACTCCAGCTCTGCACAGGCTACTGAAATGTGTTTGATGAAAATCTTATATGTTTGGGGGGATAAAAAAAAAGCTGCGTCTGCGTCAACCTGCAGCTGGTCTGCAGGAGATGTGCCCTGATTCCAAAATGAGTCAGAAGCAATTAAAATCAGGCGTCACGGTCCGTGCTGCGCAGGCATGATGAAGACAACACAACTCAGAGGGGTTCTTTATAAAACTGAATGCAAGATTATTTCTAGGCTTTGATTGTCTACTTGGTGTGTTTGGAGACTTTCTCGATGTTTCTGGGTAGCAGTAATCACTTAAACTTTAATGACAAACCATGGCCAGCCCGCTTTGCTCACTTCGGAAGAGTTTCAGGAACCAGTAGATGGTATTTGGTTGTTGCACACAGACAGCATCTTGATGATTTTTTTATTACGCTATTTTATTTACATCTTCTCTGCATTAAAAATGAGTTGACTCTGTTATGAAGAAGCAGCAGCTCATCAGTGAGGACTGCCAATCATTAAGCTGCCAACAAGGAGAAGAGTTATTCTTCTGTGACCTGTTCTTATTGCAGCAGCTGTACGGCAGGTAAAATCTGCGGTTAAAGTCTGTACCTTTTATAAAAATATGTTGTTTCCTCATTTGTTAAAAGTGTAATCATGTCGTCTTTTTATGAGGCAGATTATCTAAAAAGTTAGATTTCCTACACTTCATCCCTGAGTTACTGAGTTACTGGAGATTCGCCGCTATCAACCAAAAACAACCAATCAGAGCCAGGAGGAGGATCTTAGCGCTGTCGATCAGTGTTACTAATTGAGCTAATGGCAAAGAAACAACTTAATCTTTTAACCACCAGAATTGGTAGCTATGCTAACTAGCCTTAGCATCCCTGGTAGGCTAAGCTGCAGTGATCCTTCTGTAGTTTAGCTAAGAGCAAAGTGAGAGGATGAACATGGGGGTGATTGACAGCACTAAGACCCTCCTCCTGCCTCTGATTGGTTGGCTTTGTAAATATTTGTACATTTGAGGAATAGAACTAAAACAATTAATCAAATTAATCAGCTTAATCATAATTATTTAAATTACTGTTGGCTAATTTGGTAACCAAGTTATCAGAGTATTACTAATTTATAAAAAAGCAATTTGCTGAAAGAACAACACAGTCAGAGCAGTAATTAGGCCAAGATTATGCAAAGATACATATACTTTACGTTTCAGATCAAAAATAAACTTTGCCTATAAATATATTTCACCCAGGAATCCTCAGGTTTTTAACATTTAAAAATGTCATTTCACCAGTTCAGCTATTTTATACACAACTAGATGACAACATCATGACAGCAAATATCTCAATATTTTTATAAATGTGAGAAAAGAGACATTGTATTGGCTAGCATGCAGTAACATTACCATCCTTCAGTAAATTTAAATTTAATTAAAACTATTCAACTTGAACAGACAAACGTTTTTCATCTTAAATGAAGTTCAGTTTTGACTTTCCTACTGATCTGAATATTTTTGTGCACTTTCTTTAGGCTGTTTACTCCATTTAATGATTAATATTTTACTATGTTAGTTGACGATTATTTCAATAATTGAT